TTTTGCATTCCTTGACTTAGTCATTGCGAGATCATAGGATTACAAAAACTTCATGGCTTATTTTCCTATATTTCATTGAATTTGTATTACACGGGCGAGTAACCTCTAAAACAATTCCGAATAGTTAAAGCTACTGAAAATAGTTGAAGCTTCTCCAAATAGTTCTCGTAATTCGTTTAAGCTGAAACAATTAAAAAATATTCGATTTTTATTTAAAACTCCTGTAGTTCCAATAGGGTTTAGTTCATACTTCATTCAATTAAACTTCATTAAAAATAATAGTAAAGAAGAAATTCATTTTTCGATGACAAAAAAATTACACTATCTAATTAATTTTTTAATTTATTCATAATTATTTATTAAATATTTGATTTCTATATAATTTTATTCTACTCAAATTGTTAAAATATTTCTCACTTAAAAATTATGTTAAATAAGAATTAGAATTTTTACTACATAATATTTCAAAATAACATTTACTAAATTTTCATCAACAAAACACAACACTTTATTAATGAATAAATTTATTAAATGTTATTTTCTTTTCATTTTTCATTTAAATATAATAATTTTTATACACGCAATTTTCTCATTTTCTATAACTTCCGACAATATACAAGGACGAGCAATTACATTTAGTAAATATAATACTCTTGTAAAGTCATTATTTTAATCAGACATTTACAACCTTTACAGAACTGTGAATCAGATTAAAAAGTTAAAAAATTTCGTGAAAATATTCAGTGGGTATGATTAGATTTCTTAGAAGGAGAGTTTTTATTTTTATCGAATTTGGATACTCACACTCATAAACATTATCGAAAAATATTTTAAGGCTACAAGGTCATATTTCAAAACACCTTGAAAATTTTTGGCCAGCCCCATAAAAAAACAATGCGGGTTAAATCCAATCGATGGGTTGCACATACCTGATTTAATATAATAATGTAGATGGGTATGTACCTTATGTTAAAAGAATAGAAGAAAAGATTAACAACTGATTAAATAAAAAAAAATATTTTCTATTCAAATATGTCCTAGGTATTTTTATACGCATTGTATTAGAATTGTGGTTCGAAAAATGAGATCTGAAAGTTTTTAATAACACTTCTTCAACATAATAACATGATATAAAGGAAACTTTGTAGAAATAAAATAAAAAAAAAAAAAGTTTAAAATTCGTATTATTCGTTTGTAGGAGTCTTAAATAAGTAAATATTCCAATTTTTTTCTGTTGTTCATAAATTTATAGAAAAGAAAGGGAAAATTATTCAATAATTTCGATATTTATTTTTAAAGAATCCTTAAACATTTGAGATTTAACTGACAATATAACCAAAGCTTTTCGGTTTTTTTGCACTTATGTTTTTTCCGTTCAACAACTTCTCTCGTCCAAATCCACATATTGTTCATTGAATAGATTTCAATTAACGATTTTCCAAAAGTAATACGATCCTAGAATTTTTATTTTAAATTTATTAATGCTTATTTTCAATTGCAATGCAAAAATCAATATACGTCATTTATTGTCGCATTAAATGTATATGTACTTCAAAACGAATTTTATTCTTATAGTCACTAAATAGTTAAATAAATACTTATAAGAAAAAGGATAGTTAAAACCATTGCAAATAATTCATAGTGATAAATATTTTCAATTACATTTTCCGATATACTTGAGGCAATGAAATAAAATTTTACAACTGCTTGTACATTATACCCTTAATATTTAATAAAATATTTAATTTTAATTTTAAACAGGAAGAACAACTTTGAAATGAATTTAAAATATATCTAAAAATAATATGTATAGAATGAATATGCCTACCCGTATTCTAAGATTTTCTAACAAACAAAACAGCAAAGCCTATACATATATGTAGAAAAATCATCCAAATTGATTATAACAGCGATTTTTCTTTTACACCAGTAGTTTGTAGAAATTTTAACCAGTTTACATAAGATATGTATTCACATTTATAAAATATAATATGAACAAGGAGTTGTGAACTTCCATTAAAATGCCCTGTTTTCTCAAACAATGTGGGTTAAGTTATATTTTAATCCAAAAGCTACTAAACGAAATCCTAAAATTTCCAAGGACAACAGTTCTCCGCGCAAGGAACGGTTGGAGGAACGGACCACAGTTTGTCATTAAAACAATTGCCCGCGCTACAAAAAAATTTATGTTCCCTTACGACCGAGTGACCGGGAGCTGCCCATACTTAGCCGTCCAGATTTCAACCTATTAATAGGTGTACTCAAAGAACATTACCTCTTGATGGTCTATTTGAAAAGGATGGGCAAGGATTAATTAATATTCTAATTAAGTTAAACAAAAATTTTAAATTCACTTTCCACACACGATTAACTATTTTTAGAACATAATTCATATCTAATGCTTATACTTATATATACTTATAACTAATAATATATAGATTTTCTACACTCCTGTCCTCTCTGATTAATTTAAATATATAAATATATTTTAATGAAGAGCCCTAATTATATTCGGTTCTTCATCATTTTTTTTTTTGAATATACTTTTATTGTAAGAGTATTTTTATAAGCCTCTATAATTCTATTAAACGAAAAAATAAGAAAAAATAAGAAAGCAAAAAATAATTTTTCGGCATAAATTATTTTTAAAATTCGTATCTCATCATAACTCAACTCTTTATGACTTTGCTTTTTCATTTAATCAAGGATGTGTTCAATAATACAAGAATATGTATATGTAAAAATATAATGGAGGTGCGTCTATAATTTTATATACATACATATATAAATTTAAAATATTGTTCAAAAATAAACTTAAAGAAAGTAATAAACGACATATTCTCTATATTACAATAGAAGAAAATAAATAAACCCTGAACAGAAAAAAAAAAACAAAATTTATTATGCAAGAAACTAAAAATAAAATTAATAAAATTCTCGTATAACATAAATAATAAATAAATGGTTATAGTTTACAGACGTTAAGTGTATATATCGTTAGTTTTACTTTTAATAATAATACATAATAATTTATATTTTGTTATTTCTATTTTAGTTTGTTCATGATCTACAACAATATTAACTAAGGTTGCTAAATGTTCACGTAAAATATTCAACTATTCAACTGTAAGGTGAACAAAACTGATTTTTGCTATTACGTTCTATATTTTGGACAGGCAGAATTCCGCTAATCAGCAAGTTAACGTCAAGTTTTCTCAATATCAATCGTAGCTTAAGTGTCATCCATTAAATGTGTTCCAATTTTTTTTATTACACTTAAAAGTGATTTGTGATTTTAATTATTAAAAAAAAAGCTATATCATTGTAAACGAATCTCCGGACAAAAACTATATAATTCTTACTGATGGTTATATTGCCTTCTTTCTATTTCTTAAAAATTAAATTCTCACTGCGTGTATCATCAGTATTACCAGTTTTCAACCGATAAGAACATTGAAGAAAACATTGAAGAAAAATTTTTCCGAATATTGAAAAGGATTTGTAATAGGTTTGAGGACTTTAGTCGACGGGAAAATTATTTAAGAAATATTTTGGCAATATGAAAACCTTAAAATATTTGTATTTTTTCGTATTTTACCGGCAATCAAGAACACAATCTACACAAATATACAAAATACCGAACTTATACTTATTTAACTTGAATATCACAAATTTTAGCTTAATTTTTCATAAGTTTTTTTTTTTTTTATAAAATATTTATGTTGTTTCACCTTACGCATAATGCCTACAACAACAGAGTTTTACAATTTATGTGTTGTAAGAGAAAGAGAAAAGGATTCGTTTGCATATTATTTGAGTTTTTTTTTTATTAATTTCGATTTTCTGTTGTTTTCTCAAAATCTTAACGGTATTTATACTTTATTAATTCTCTATAATATACAAAATACATCCAATACGGCAAAATAGTTATATTATGTAAATGTGGTACGTAAATAAGAATTTTATATACGCATATAAGTATACGCCATGTGTACTACATTATTTTATGGCACAGTATTGGTGGCAATGTTTTACATATAATATTTATAAATTAGAATATAATTTGAATATTAAATATAATTTGATTCGTGATGTATCATCTGTTGTCGTAATATTTAAAAAAAGAAAAAGAAAATTGTTAAAGGAAATGAAAAGAAAAAAAAGAGTCTACAAACAAAAATTTTAATTTATAAGCGTGTGTTTATGAGTGTTGAATATACGTAAATTATGTTGTCGCAAGCAAGCGAGTGTAACTATGTAAGGATATAGAGTGAAAAAAATTAATTTATAGAAATTATTTAATAAGTATAGGGATATTTTTGAAATAACCTTGTATACAATACCATATTTAATGATATCCTTGAAAATATAATAGTATAAGAAAAACAGAAAAAAAAAAGAAAAAAATTAATGAAATTGTAATAAGGATTCTGATTTTTTTATTTTATTTGTTATATTAGTTGTATATAGGTATATATGTATATAACAGTTTCGATTTAGCTTAGCTATAAAAAAATATTGATTTGTTTTCAGTTTGTTATTTACAATATTCTGTTCTCATATATTAAAGATTTTGCAATTAAAGAATATGGATTTGACACTTTCATCGTCTTATTTTACAAGAATTATTTCTTTCTGTGTAACAAGTATATTTAATGAACCACTGCAATGCAGGCAAATTGATTTTGATTTGAAATTAATTTAAAATATTTATGAGTTTTATTATATTGTTGCGATTTATTAGAAAATTTTTTTTATTTACATATTCAATTTAAAATTAAAAAAAGAATTAATACTATAAAATTAATGACTTATATAATACCTAAAACTGAACCTTCTTTAAAAAACTCTGTCATTGAAATGAAACCACGCCAAGGGCCTGAAATTTTTTTTAAGCTTCCTTATTATTAAATTTTTAAACAATACTTATGAAATATAATAATTTATATAAAATATAAATTTCTAATATTAATTGAAATTTTTATTTTTTTTCTTTACAGGTAATATAAAATATTTTAAGGAAATGTACTACATTGAACGCAATTATAATTACAAAATATTTTAAGGTAATTTTTTTACATTAATCGCATTTATAAGCATTTTTAGTTGTATTTTAGGAACTTAATGAATTTGTTTCGAGAATCAAATCTTTTTATCTGTATATTTTTTTTTTTACAAAAACCTTACTGAAATTTGAAGAACAAAGCGCTATTAACACATTATCAAGGGGGTGGTTTTCTCTTCCTTCACAAACTCTAAGAAAATATACTTGCATACTACAGGAAAACAAACATCATCTATGTATATTATATAACAACGTCTATAATAATCGGAAAATTTCGAAAGTTTTCCGTACCCTGGAAGTATGTAGAAAAAAAATTAGTTTTATCAATTCAATATAGGATTTGTATACAGATTCCAGTTCAATATATGAATACTAGATCAGTATAATTTTCGCATTTATAGGAAACGTAAACACACACGCGTACATTGATTTTTATATTGGAAACCCAAAATCAATATTAAGACCTGCAAAATTATATGTATTAATTATATTATATATAAATAATATCGTATGGTATACGGTAACAACCTGTGTTAATTATGAAAATACACCTATGTTAGTTTTGTAGAGTTTTCTTATATGTACTTTAATTCCCTTCACTGAAATATCATATATTATTAATTAAGGTATTTTTCTTTATTACTTAATAAGTATTAATATATTTATATTATCTTGTACAGCTGGACCCATATAATATCATATTTTTTACCATATTATCATAATATGCAGCTGTACAGTAACCACATTTAACACATTTATAAAAGAATATTATAAGAGTAGAGATAATAACCACGAATGTCACTTGAACAATATATGTAAACATACATAAAAACACATATGTTTTATTATTTTTATTTAATTTTCATTTTATAATAATAATACATAATATAAAAATCTCAGAGGAATTCATTTAATTTTTATTAATAAATGTTTAATTCTCTTTTGTATTTTTTAATTGCTTTTTTTTAACATTATTTAATATTCTTAAAGGACAAAAAATATTTTCAATAATAATATTAAATGCGATATTGCTTTCTGATAGTAAATTTTAATAGACCTTAGTGTAATAGTTAATTATGTAGAACCTTTATAATATTGAATTTACTTGTACATAAATTGATTCTGTACAAGTATATTTTTACATAATACATATATAAAATAATTGTGAACAAGTAAATCCAATATTATAAAAGCTCTTTAATTAACTATTATAATAACATAAGGTCTATTAAAATTGACTATGTAGACATTAAATTGAAAATAAATAAAAATATTTTAAAAGATATATAATAAACGATAAAGAATTTTTAGTATGTCACATTTAAGATTACACGCATTTAATTATTATTATCCTTATACATTGATATAATTACAATTTGATTAAATACTTAAAATATTTTTGTTTTTTCTCATTAATGTTAATAAAATTTCATTTTAAATTTTTAGTATTTGATTACAATAATATCTGGATTGTAAAAAAAAAATGGAGATAAAAACCACAGGATTATTACGATTTAATTTGTAGATATTTGCTTATTTTCATTGAGATTTTAATGTATGTATAGATGTACATGTTCACGTAATTGTATAAAATTGAAATTAACTATTAAGTACATTATTGAAGTTAAGAACAAAAATAACAAGAAAAACTCTGTAGTATATAAATTTGTTCAATTAATTTCTTTATTTTGTAAAAATGTAAAATTTATTTAACACTTTTCAAAGGATAAAGCATGCACTATAAAGTCTGTTATAATATGTAATATGTAGATTTTATTCATTACCGATAAAGTAATCATCACAAAATTTAATTTTATTTATGTAAAATAAATAATGTACAGATATTTAAGGTTTTTATAAAATCGATGCTATTTAAATCCTCATCCGTCACAGTAATTCTTTTTATCTTTTAGTTTCATAAGCCTACGTGCAATTGCTTTGAATTTCAAGGGTTGTACAAAATTTCTAATAATAGATGTAATTAACCAACCGAAGAAAACGGTTTACACTAAAACAATCGGTATATACTCACCCGTTTACTAAATATTTTTAAAATTGAAGAATCATTCTTACTTATACGCCATAAAATTATGTGTAACGAAAAACCCAAAAGATTTAGGCATCTGCTCGGTTAAAAAATTTCATTCTCATAAGTTTATTCTTTACTTTTTCTAAATCTTGAGTAAATTTATTTTAAAAATCTTACATATTTTGTTTTGATTACTTTTTTGTTTTCTATAAAATCCTATATAATTTTCCAAGAATTGAAAAAAAAAAAAGAATTCAAATTCCAAGAAGATTTCCAACAAAAATTATTGAATATTTAAAATTATACAAAAAAATTTTTTTTTCGATTTTATTTTTTGTTTTTGCTCGTTATTGTTCCGGAACATCATTAACAATAAACAAAGAGAGAAAAGAATACACAAAGGACATCGTTTGTACAATAACTTATTCACTTAATCCATCTTTTAATATATGTTATTAAAAGTTTTGTTGTATATTTTTTACATTTTATGTAAGCACAAGAAAAAAAGAAATAATTTTGTTGGGTTTAAAAATTCTGGCTTCATTTGAAATCATTTTGTTGTTGATTTAAGTGACAATATTGTAGTATCGCACTGAAATTTCGGGTTAATAATAATGAAATCTTGTTGGAGTATAACGTTTTATGTTATAAAAATTCTATTTTAACCTAAACAAATATTATTAAAATCGTATTTTAAATTGATCCAACATTGAAATATAATGAAGAATATGAAAATTGAAAATTTTAGAGATACAATGTTATCGTAAATTAGATCTTACTTGAAAAATATTTTGCTAATTTTACTTATACTTTTAAGATAAAAATAAAATTAATTTTTCTATTTTAAGCTTTTATTTTTAATACTAGCTCGATAAAATTACTTAATTTAAGTCAACATTTATTTATTTTATTAATTCTCAGTTTCTTATCCTATAAAAATTCTGTATTCTAAAATCCACGATTTAATATTTAATCTTTCGAAATTCTAAAACGAAATTATGAATTATTTAAAATGCTACACTGAATTTTTTGAAAATTTTAAAAGTTATAAATAGTTGATTACTATTCAAAAGTTTTGTAATTTTTCTAAATTAATAGTGAAAATTGTATATTATACAATACTATACTATTTGGGTATAGAACCAGCTGCGTCTATATTAGTAAAAAAATTTTGCACGTTAAATTGAAATAAATAATAATCTCGAGTGTTGGAAATCGCAAAAAAATAAATCCTATAACAGCCTTGAAGCTAAAAAAATTTAAATGAAACATTTTTCTTCCTCAATTTGTGCTCTTTTATATTGTAATTAAGGTTTTGCAAGTAGCATAAATTTTGTAAAAATTCAGATTTTCAAAAAACGCTATTTTCCAATATACCCATACAACTTCCTTTTGTCTGTTTGGTTTCCGCAGCTGAAGACAAATAAAATAAATTCCAGATAACGAAATATTTATCGGTGCTTTCATAGTTATAATTACACTTGCCTAAGAATACCAAGTTTAATGAATTTGTTGTAACAAATATTAATTGCGGTACATTTCAGCCGAATATTTTTAACAATTTTTACAGATTGGCAAAATTAAACTGAAAAGAATTCTTTAAAAACAAAAAGAAAAAAAGAGAAAGAAATCCAAATGAAATTTGATTTCATTCATTGAAGAAGAAACAGCGACATTTTAAAAACAAATCTTACCATTGTTTGATTATAGCCTATAGAGATCTATAGAGGGAATTGAATAGATAGTAATGTAGAAAATTAATAACGGTTGTATAGGCTTATAGATATTGTTGTAAAATTTTCAATTTTCTTATAACAATTTTGTTATTTCTTTGGCATATTTTGTTTTTTCTTTTTAATGTTGTTTCTTGTTTTTTATTATCCTTATATAATAAAGTCTCGTTTCTCTTTAAACGTGTAATTATTTCGTGTAATGAAAAAGAAGAAAATTTTACTTAAAATTCAAATAACGTCTAAACTATGTTACCGATACACCAACTGGTGTTTCTTTTATATAATATTTATAAGGATAAAATTATATGTATAAAGGAAAACGTAGAATTTAATGAAAATCTTTTAAAACGGACATTAAAGGAAAAATGGCTCGATTAACTGATGTTTTCTATTCCATATTGGATTTATACAAAATGATGAATTCAAACTAATTTAAATTGTAAATGATGAATAATTATTATTATTTTTTTTCATTTTTTCATTGTTTTAAGTTTTTTTTTCCATTTTAATTTCTCATTATCTTCTTTTGCATCTTTGTTAGTTTGAATGTTGTTTTCAATAAGAAAGAAAAAATTCATTCAAATTAAAATTGATTTTTGTATATGAAAAGAAAGTGAGACGAAATTAAGAGAAGAAAAGAATTTCGTTTTTGCTTTGTATTCGAAACGGTGAAGTATTTTTCGTGCTTATACTCAAAACACTTTAATATAAAATCCTTTTGATTCTTAATTAATTAAGAGGTGAAAGCGAAGAAAATGAAAGATATTTAAATTTTATTTGAATGTGTTTTTAGCGACTATTAATTGAGTCACTTAAAATTCTCATCACAGTCTTTTTGCCAAACAGTTCCAAAAAATATTTATAATTTTACTTAAGTCAAAAGCTAATAATAATTTCAACCATTTCCGTTCTCATGAAAATATGCTGACATCTATAAAAATATATCTAAATTTGTAAAAATTATAAACGGCCCGATGTAAAATTATAATTGAAAAATTTTATTATGCATAAGTACTCGCGCAAATATACACAATTGTTATTGTCCTGTTAAAAACTTTAAAATATTTCGAATTTGTTACCGAAAGGAAAACTGGATGCCGTCTTATATATTTTGCTCTTTTTTTTTCATTTTCAATAAATTTTCCGTTTAAGTTCAACCGATCTAATATATTTTATTTACCATATAATATTTTCCATTGTCATCCTTGAAATTTCATATAAAAATTCATTAATTTTGTA